CTGCAAATCATAAATTATTACCGGCAATATAAATGTACTCGACGAATCCATCGATTTTTTTTGAGCCAGACGCGAAAGTGCCCCGGATCCCGCTGATCCCGCTCAATTAATAATTTTATTTTTAATGACTGGAAATATCCGATGAAAATTTACGGATCATCCGAACCGTTGAAAGGTTTTTCAATTTAATTTTTAGAAATCTGTCATCCGTAGATTTATACCTATTTTTAATTTTTCGTTTATTACCCGAATATCATAAATATGCTATTCGGGTAATAACCGAAAAATAAACAATGCGTAGAATTAATAATGAACAAATAACATTTCCTATAATACATGTAACTATTAGTGAGAATTTCGCATATTTATGTTATTTAAATACTTAACAAAAAATTAAATAATTGGTAGAATTATAAATTATTCTATACCCCAAAACAAGGGTACTTTGAGAATCCCTGGTTTAGTGGATACTGTTTCCGATGTTTTTTTCAATCTCTGGAATCGAGATTAAATGTTCATAAAATCCATGTATTTCCTGGAAACTTTTGAATCATCAAATATTTATTGATTAACCAAATCTATGGAAATATTTAGAGATGTAAAATTAATAAATACCGGCTATATTTATAAGATTCGGTCATCTGCTTAAAATGTTCGTATCGTTTTTAATAATCCTAGTATTCAGGATTTTAAAAATCTGTTAATTTCCCGGAATTTAAATCCCGTATAATTACTGAAAGCACTGACTAAATATGCCCAATAATGTATATTAAATTAATCAGAACTAGTTAGAAAATTGTACACGATTTATAATATGCTAATAATAAGAAACAATATGTATTGTATAACAATATACAAAGGATTATCATAAAGTATTTTACCTGATTTTGAATGACAAGATTTCGGTTGTCGGGATTTCGATATAGACCCTCTTGAATATACTATTCATCTATAAACGTTGGACACATTTATTCCTGTCAAAGTTGAGTTTGTTCTAGCAAACACAACATTCCTAATTCAATCATTGGATAATTTAAAGCTTATCATATTTGTAGAACATTAAGCAATTGAACTGAATTAGAAGAGGAAATGGCAGTTAAAACTATTTGAAGAAACTACAACATTAAAATCATTAATGGTTCTTGGAAAGGAGCCACTAAGCAATACTTAAATGATGTTTGTAGCAAATTATGGTGAAAAGTTATACTAGAAAAAGAAAATAACACCCAAGAAATTAGAAATGAGGTTGTCCAGACGGCGCAATTAATAGGTTTAGAAAATATCGTGAAGAATATGAAAATGTATTAAATGCAGAAAATTATATTGAAAATCAAAACGAAATTAAAGACATTCCTAAATAAATCCTTACTATTAATTGTAAAAGTTAATTTTACTTTTTTGAGTATTTATTTGAAAAAAATATAGTTCAAAATAACGATTTTCATTTTTTTTAATCAGAAACCTGTTCCCATTATAGCCATCTCCTAAAACGAATGTTTGATTAATTTTGTGAATTCTGTTCGTAAATATTGAGGTATGATAACATATACCAGACGTATCTATTTTTAAATTACACACTTTCTCTCATTACTCATTTTATCAGTTATAATAATCAAAAGCATGGATCATCTGGATCAATTTAATTATATTCTACGTTTTAAAATATTAAACTATTTCTGAAATTGTATATTTTATCTCATTACTAATTTCAACTATAAACCTAATAAAAAACATATTATATAAGTTAATACATTTCTATAGATATATCACAATCAGTTGTCAGCGTATACAATTTTAGATGTATTTATTATTGTTAATTGGTATTGACTTGTAAAAATAATCTAACTAATTATGCAAGGAAGAGAAAATATTGATTTTATTAGCAGAAAGACTTTGTACATTAATCGCATTAAATTTGACATATATTTCTAGCAATATGCGTAGGAATGCTTTTATGATTTCAATTTTTCCTTGTAAGTAAACGTGACTATTCTAGGTAGAGGAACGTTTATTTGCATCGACGTACTGTCTTTATAATTGATGTTAAATTGATTTTCTACCGTATTTTTTATTCAGACATGACTTGTTCAATATATTGGTCAAACCAATTGTGTGTAATTATATTGAGCAATCACGGTTTTTTTGTTTTCTAACAAATACAATCTTAAAAATGGCTCTTTAATTTAAAAAAGTTGCCGATTCCTAGTGTATCTGATATAGTATTTAATACTCAAATAACTTTTTACTAGCAATATTTACAATAGATGTTCCAAGGAATAGCTAGCTTCTCCATACAATATACACTTCAGTCAAAACAAATATTAGAGTAAATTTATTATCACTTTTGATTGAACACTTTACATATATAAAAGAAGTTATTATATAGAATCAAGATAAAAAAAATATATCAGCAACTAAATTAATATTATTTAGTTGTTATAATAACGATTTATATATATTAGCTTATTAAGAAACAGAAGGATTGTATTAAAACAAAATTAAAATGGTCAATCATTATTTGAGACAAAAGAGAATTTGTAAATGTAATTACTCTTTATATCAATGTTTACCAACGTGGGGCCCACGTCCAACAGGGAGATTATTCTAAAATGGGCACATCTAGAGTTTAACCGTATGGCGTATTATGTATATGTTACATACGGGACATAAGAATTTTAGAAAGACTATGGTGGGACATGGCACAAAAAAGGTTGTGAAAAATTGCTTTATATAAATCGTAGTCGTTATTATATAGAATATCTGCATAAAGTCTAGAATAGTGACACTTTTCATACTTTACCTATTTGTAATAGATATATAGTCAACAGCCAATTGTAGCAGCCAATCTTTTTTGTTTTATTATTATGATCGTTTTGAATAAAAATGTTTAATTTTGTTGACTTTGCAATAATTATTGGTATTATTTTTTTTATTTGTTAGTATTTTATTTAAATGTAGAATAATTATATGTCATTATATAATAGATCATAGCTGATATTATATAAAATAATTAAAAAAGACATTACAATGTGAAGGACAAAAGCGCGCAGACAAAAGCGCTCAGTAACAAAAGTGCGCATAACAATAATTAGAAAATGTATAGAATATAGAAGTATTTTACTTACTATTTATATGGTCAGTCCTTTCTTAAAGTTTGCAGATTTACTATATTAAAATGCACACATTATTAGATTAAGTATATAATAACAAATATTTATATAGTTGTAGTAGTATGATAGATTAACTAAAATTGTTAGTTTAACCCGTAAATACTTTGGATAGGTCAGAGTGTCCTGATATTTGTTTTCAATCATATTCCCATTCACATTCAATTGAAATTTATTTGTGGGGGTTGACCTTCTATTAGAGCAGTGTTCCTCGACCTTTTTATCGCCGCGGTCCGGTCTACTCTTCATAATTTTACCGCGGTCCGGTGAGGGGCGGACGTGATTAACATTTTAACTCAGTAGATCGCTAAATCGATAGGAACCATGAGTTTGTTTCTTTGCAACGAGATGGTTCCATCTGGGGGTTTGTGCGGCCCGGTACCATTTGATCCACGGACCGGGGGTTGGAGACCACTGTTCTAGCTAATCCATTACTTTCTTGTGCATTTTTCAGTAGGAGCAAAGCTGTCACAAAGAAAGATCTACTTATTTTATTATAAAGTGTATTTCGTGTCAAAGTAACCATACCAAATACCTTCTTGAAATATCATCAATATTAAGATTTCAAAGTGGAATAACTTTCGTTTCCCTTGTACCAAAACAGGAAAAATCAATAATTCTGATATCTAGTTTGCACCATATTAATACTGTGAATAAAATTACAGAAACAACAGGATATCATACATTTCTATAATGTAACTAATTATTTTGTTTTATATTAAATATTGATTGTGTCAATTGTAGCGTTATATATTAATCGTCGCTATTAGGAAAGATGATATTATTTGATAAATCAAGTAGAATGTGCGTTATGTGATCTTATAATTCTAATTGCAAATATTATACTATTATACTAGTTAAAATGACTGTTGAAGCACAATCTAATGAACTGATTTCTACATCGAAAACGCAGAGGTGTTTTTTGTCCAACCAAGTACGATACAAATATAGGAATTTTTTGTGAAATGCAAAAGACCAATTAGTTGTACTTGCTAAAAAAAGTGGAATAAAATCTGTTTTAAATAATTTTAAATTCATCATATGATGAGAATTAATCTGTGTATATTGTGAAAATTAATAATTTATTATATTTGATGAACGGGTCATTTTGACCCATAGTTAATATTTGTATTTGTCCGTAGTAGTTGTACTATAGTTAAATTAGTTACATTACATTTAGATGGTAAATTAATATTTATAACTAAACATAATTTGTAAATATAACTACACTTCATATAGATATAAGTAGTTTTTATATTACTGGAGTTGGCAACCTTTTTAGAACAAAGAGCCACTTGTCTGTTAAAAACAGTTTAGGGAGCCGCACGTTTCATTAGAATATCCGCATTTGACCATTCCGTTATGTAATATAAAGTATAGTCATGATTTTCATACTTTATAAGATTATTATACTATTTCATTGAATAAATCTGTGTTTCTCAAAGTTTTTGATAAGTAGAATGTGTAAAAAACCGGGATATTTTGATCTGTCATCACCCCCAAATATTTAACTGATTAACCGATTTTGTATAAATAATAAATCAAATAAAGTGAAAATTGGTTAAATTAAAGAAGATTTATGATAGTCAATTATTATATGAAACTGTCAAAATGTGAATATGTGACTACATCCTTGTTAAGTTACTGACCTTTTTTTTAATGTGTATGTGTTGCGGATCCTTTTTTTTGTGTGTGGATATATGTAGATTTATTATGCTTTTAATTCTTTCTTGGGCCAAGCTGTTGCTCGGATCGGGGCTTGGCCGACGCATGTGCGCCGCGACGCTCTCTTAACACCGTCGAAGCTTTCCTCTGGAATCAGTGTGGCTCGCGACTGATAACGGTGAGCATCACATCTGGTGCACGGCGGGCAACCCACGAGAATCGCACACATCCGTTTCCGGTGTTATACCAGTGAAAAGAAAAAATATATATTTAAAACAAAAAAAAACCAACAACAACAACAATGAAATATGCTTAAATCGTAACAGTTTTCCGTTCCCCAACAAACAACAATAAGTTTTCGAATGTGAACCTGGACTGTACAAAGAACAATTGTTCCTCGTTTTCAGCCCTTTTCTTTCCAATTCTCAATTTATTTATTTTTTGTTTTACCCCCGTTTTTTTTCCGTTTTCATTCCTATTTTTGTTTTCTATTTCCTTTCGTATTATTTCGTTTCCGGTGCAACCGAGTTCTCGCAATGGACGAAACTTAATGTCGCTGTTCGCTAACTGCCCGATATATCAAATTAAAGTCCGCAAGTAAGTTGGAACTTGAATGCTTTTAAACTTAAATGGTTGCGCCTCGCAAAATGGTTTTAATCAAATAGCCACAACATACCCACACACCATTATATCTCTATGTAAAACACAAACGCAAATCATACTCATTACTCAAAGCACGGACCATCAATTTACGTAATCTTATTCAACCATTTCTTCATTAATTACATCAATTACATCATTTCCATTATAATATCATATTTAATTTAATTAAAAAATGAGTATTTACTCAAATTAAATATTAAATCATTTACAATATTTCATATTTATCATAAATTTAATTCAAAAATATGTTATACAGAAATTATTTAAAAAATCCATCAAATTTAAAAAATGTGCTTGTCTTGATTTTAATCATATTTTGTTGGTTTACACATTGTTTTATTACTATTTTATGAAATCTTTTGTTATTTATTTTTTTTGTATTTAGAATATATAGAATCAACAAAAATTAATATAAATTTAAGAAAAGCTAAAAATTAACAAACATTCTTTACTGGTTTACATTCGTTGTTTACATGTTTTTCATAAATACTGAAAAATATACACAAAAAATAGAAAACACATACAAATATTTAATTTTGTCTGTAATTTGTTAGTTTACATTATCTGATCTGATATATTTATTTGATAAATATATAATAAAATATAAATGGATGAAAAAAAAGCATCATTTAATGAAAGAAAAATAATGTACAAAATTAATTGTTATATATCCACTTCTTAGTGTTTTGGTATATATTTTATCATTTTAATCTTATTTAGATTGAGAAAAAGTTCATATATTGAAATATATTATTATGTGCTTATATAATTTGCTTTTTGAGTTACATATTGTTAAAGTAATAGATAATTAGGTTTAATTAAATTTAATGAAACATAATTTCAGCAAACGCTATTATTACGTCTGGGGATTAAATTACAGCATCCAAATGCGACCATTTAGTTTAATTAAGAGGGTTATAACAATACATATCTATATGTTCATTGAAATTATATGTAATAATTAGCAATTATTATAATTGTTCTCAATGTTTCATTAAAAAGTTTCATAATAATAAACTACGAACTCAATTTATAATTAAAAAATAGCTACTATTTAATTTACATATAGAATTGATTTTTTCAAATGTTATAAATTTATAGTGAAAGAAATATTATTGAAAAAAAATAAAATAAAAAACAAACTGTGACAAATTTCCTAATCAATAATATAATTAAATCTTTTAAAATAAAAATTGAATAGAAAATTTGTGAAGAGTAAGTTTTTGAAACTAACTTAGAGATCAATCTTAGTAAATAGTTTTTAATAAAGAAGCTTAATTGGGAAGAAAAACCTAAAAATATAAATTACATTGTGTGTTAATATTTATATATTATTGAATAATAACAATAATTTCATTAAAATAAACATCTTTCATACAAATCTTTCACACTAATAAAAATACATATATTCTTAATAATAATGGATAGAAATATATGTATGTTTTAAACTATATACAAATTTAGTAATATAAATTGCATGTATAAAATATTTATTGTACTTTCAGATTATGAGAAATGGTATATTATGAGAAATTATCGATTATATTTTTTTCCAGTATCAAATTGATAGGTCAACAAATAGCTATATATTATTTATATCGTGCATGTAATGAGAATTTAATGATAACTTCACTATTAGAAAATTGGTTGTAATAATGTGCAATTATATGGATTTGATATCATATAATATATTAATATTCCTGCTTCTAAAATGACGATAACAGAAAGCTTTCAATCAATAACATTTTTTTTAAATGTTTTGTTCAAATTTCTTTTAATTATTTTAACATTTAAAATATCATTACGTTTCATGTATAAGCGCTATGAAATAATTTATAATTTCGTTTTATATCATAAAATTTTCAGAAATATAATTTAACTATTGGTGGAAAGACCTCGGTCGATAGCCCTTTGATCAGTTGTTTATTTTTGTTAATTCATGTTAGATTTTTTTTTCTCTTGTTCAGAATTGTTATTATTTGGTTGTCATTATTGTTATTATTATATGTATTGATTTATAAGATGTACTTCTTTGCTGTTTATACTTAAAGTCTGGTCAATAAATTATTATTATTAATTTAACTAATTTAAAAATTATTTAACAAAAAAATATTATGCAATAAGTAACTTTATAATAAAGTAATCATTATTTTTGTAATAATATAGATTTTGAATTCTAAAATATATTATTTATTTTTACTAATATAATAATTATAGGAAAACAATATTTTTTAAGTTTTTTTTCATAAAGAAAATGTAATTAAGTTTCAATTACTGCAATCCAATTGCAGCTGTTAGTTTAGTATCAATTTTAACATATAGTGTAACTTTGAACAACTAATTAAACTGAAGAAAGTAATTTATAACCAGAATTGGCAAATCAGAAAAGAATTGTCTTCCACCAAGACAATGCAAGATCTCACACATCTTTGACAGTAATGGAAAATTATTGGAACTTTTGTGGTGAAGTGATCCCCTTGAAGCCATGTCCTTGTGCCAACAATTATCATTTATTAAACTAATTCAATGTTAAAAATTTCACTAATGATGATGACCTGAAATCGCAATTGTTTCAATTTTTTACTTAAAAGGATCAGAAGATCTGGGAAATCATGAAGTTAACAGAAAAAGGTCATCAGAAAAATGGAAAATATATAATTGATTACTAAAAAAAAAATAAATTATATTACTCATATAATATAATAATTACTATCATTATATGTAGTAATATTACAAATAATAATAATAATAATCATAGAGATAGTATAATCTATGAACAAATTTAATTTATTATGATAAAAATAATACTTTATTTGCAATAAAAAATGATTATTTACCGAAAGTTTTATGAATTGACAAAGCTTGAAATGTTAATCGAATACTGGTTTTGCAGCCATTCCGTAAATAAGGAATTTTATGATCACGCGTTCGTGGTGGGAAATATATTACAATATAAATATTGATGTAATGCATATTTATGTTGGTAATATATATGGAATTGAGATAAATTCTATATAAAAGCGTTTGAATTTTGTGCTCGATGCGTTTTCTGAAAGTTTTATGATTATTAAACGTAAAATACGATGTAATTTGTATGTATACTCGACCTGACTATCTCTCGTATTCATTCATCGTTACTGCGTCTCATTACAATAACAAATAACAGTTACACGAAACAATCGTTCAAATTTTACCACTCATAAGGATACTGAGTATTTCTTATTTAAGTAAAAGTACCAATTAAGTTTCTCTTTGGACTACTGAATGCAGCTTATTTTGTATTTACGCTGGAGTTATTATATGAAGGGATGAAACTTATTTGGCATCGGATATGAAAGAGGTCGTGCTACGTCTTTCATTAAGAGACGGTGATCCGACGGAAGTTAATTACGACCTAGTTTTCACACGGAGTCATAATTTTGAAGACGGGCGCTTTTTGTACCGAATTGATTACGAAACTGCAAAAATGGAATCTCCACTTTTCTTCTCATACGTTCACTTTTATACTTCAAACAAACAAAATAAAATGCCAGAGGCGAATTGTATAGCGTTACGTAGCTGTTGTTTCGGAAGAGAAAAGAAAGAAATTTATTTCTAGTAAAACATTAAAAAAGAAACGTTATTTTTCTACGGACTTTGAGGAATTATTCAATGTAATAGTATATATAATATTACATTACATGATTCATTTGTAAAAAGTGTTCGTAAAGAGAAACTATATTCCCATAAGAATTAATCTGGATATAATCCTTATTCGGTGATTATAATATTGATTATTTAATCTTTATAACTGCAGATTATCTACAAAAGCGAATACAAAAACAATGAAAATACATAAAAACTTTATCAAAATAATAATATTTATTGCAAGAAACATAAAATTACTTTCAATAGACACCATAAATATATATAATTGTAGGAGAAGCAGGGTTGTAACAAGAACATTTTGCGACTTGATCGAAATATCTAATTTGCGCTCCTGTCTCAAAAATATAATTTCAACTTATTGCCTATTATTTGCTCCCAATACGCTTTATGGGCCCACTCCGCCTGTCTTGCTGATGGAAGGTGGAAGTAGAATAACATACACACACCGTGCTTCTCACGTAACAAGTGCCTTTTGTCTTGTCGAGGAATTGAAATTTTGTTCGGGAACTGAAATTATATTTGGAAAATATATTGAAATCGAGGCATCATTAGTTTTAATTTTTTGTTTAGAAAGTTAAACCTTTCAGACGAAGATTTTTCAAGTAAATGCGTACTCAACGGTTTTTTAAGAAACTGCTATTATTCAGAATTCACTTGAAAACTTTTACGGCTCGATTAGATCTAAAAAGAAAAACGATGACGTGTCGGAGTCGTAACCTTGCAAGCAATTTTGTATAAGCGAAGTGTTCTATGTAAAGGTTATGGCGGATATATCCGCCACTCGCCAGCAAATGGTTAATTGTTTGGGAACCGAGGTTCCTAAAAGTTTTAAAATCAAGATTCCTTTTATAAATAAACAATATTCAGAATTTTATCGTTTATCTGTTAGTCTGAAATGAAAATATGAAAAGAAATTATGAAAATATAATTCGGAGGATTAAAAATAACGAATTATGACAAAACAAAAAATGTGTAAAAAATACAATAACATTTTTTACCTATCGTAAAAATATATGTACCATAATCTTATTATAGCTTAAGGTTAATTCAACGCAGAAAATAATAGCATTAAATTATAAATATAGAGGAAATTTAATTTATGCTTTGATTAACTTTAACGAGTTTAATCCGTTACAAAATTTCCGGACTTTTATTCGTATAGTGAAACATATTCAAAAATACATATATATGTACACAAGTTTTAAAAATCATGTAGCAGGCGCGCAATCCGGGACTTCTCTTCTCATCGTCACTCGTTATGAGAAACGTCGCTCGTTAAGCGAGTC